CATCCAGTGGCTGTGACTCCGAAGCCAGTCGTTCACGACGCTAAGATGCCAGGAGTCATCGGTCATCCAGGAAGACGTCGAGCCGTCGAACGCATTCAGAACGTTCCAGTCGATCGAGTCGATCCGCCATGTCTGGGGCGTCCCAAGTCGCATTGAATACGATGCGCCAGACTCAGGAAGCTTTGGCCCGCTTCCGGGCAGAACTCGCTCAGAAGCGCCAAGCTGATGAAGCGATTCTGGCTGCTCACGCTGAGGCTGCCATCCAGGCCGAACGATTTCGCGCCGCGAAAGAGACCGAAGACCGACTCAAAACACAGCAGTTTCAGACCGAGGCGGACTTCGCTGAGCGTCTCAGGATCCAACGGATGCAGGACGAGTCTGAGCGTGCGCGCTGGATGGGTGATGTCCAGAAGAGCACGAACATGCAGATAGCGATCCTCCAGCAGCAAATGCGCGAGATGGAGGCTGAACGTGATCGAGAACGGGAAGCGGCAAAGAACATCCAGAAATTTCAAGCCAGTCAGTTGCGCGACCTTCGTGCAACCTCCGCCCAGGTTCAACATGCCACAGTGACCTCTGTCCCAGATGCAGTGTCTCAAATCAAGACATAATCGGGAATTGCTAACTTCCAGCAAGACGCAAAGGGTCAGGATGCAGGCAGCGTCGCAGTCAAGAAGGAGAAGTCCAGCGACAGGGATGGCGCGGCCGTCCGCGCGGACGCTCTCCTGGCCGCACAACTCCAGGCTACCATCCAGAGTGTGAATGCGGCGAAGCAGAGAACGAAACCCGCGACTACTGTGTCCACAGCGGTGAAAGCTGAGGCGGGAGCCAGTGCGACGAAGGCCCCCGCGCCCAAGTCATCAGACGACGCTAAGGCGAAGGCCAAGGAAGCCGCACCCAAGACGCGTACATCCAGGAAGGTTCGTCGTGGTGGATACCCATCCGACTCGGACCCAAGCTCAGAAGATGATGACAGTGATCCCAGCTCGGATGACGCGGACAGGGCTTTCTGTGAGCCACTCCGCGATATGGTGGTCCCCAAGGCCACCCAGGGCGACACCACCACGATGACTATCCGACCATTCGTGACTGCGAGTTCTCTGGACGACTTCGACGAGAAAGCTTCTCTCTCGGAACGCACTCGTTGGTGGGAACGTTTTCAAACGTTGTCTTTCCAAGGCGGATGGAGCGACAAGATGAAAGTTTATGAACTCCGCCTGAAGCTATCCTCCTCGGCAAGGAACTGGCGTTCACAATTGTCTCCGCATGTGCGGTGTGGCTGGACAAGGTTCTCCAAGCAATTCAAGGTGAAGTACTGTAAATCCAAGATGTCCGACTCAGAAAGGTACTACACCATGAAGCAACGCAAGGCTGAGACCCCCCTGGATTTCTTATATCGGCTGAACGTTGCAGCCGATCGTGCGGACATCCGCTACAAGAAGTCAGAGCGACGTCGGGAACAGCACGTCAAGAGGTTCACACACCGCCTGGCAGATTCGCAACTGAAGAACATCCTGAAAAGCCAGCGATTCAAGAGCATGGATGATGCTGAAGCAGCAGGAAGATGACTGGGATGATGATCGTCAAAGCGGCTCGTCCACCAAAGCAAGAGACTTCAGGGCGGACAACCTCCGTCAAGGTCGACTCAGGACCAAATATGCAGGACGAGCGTATGTCACCCAGAGAGGCGAAGAGTCTAACTCTGACGAACGAGGTGTGATGTTCGAGGATGAAACTCTTGAGATCTCCCCGGCCCAGGAACGTGTCGAGTTCCATGAGGTACCTCCTGAAAACCAAGGCCTGGGTATGACTATGGAGGAGTTGACGCAACACGTGCTCAAGGTCATGGAGAATTTAGGATGGAACAAACCTGGGCATATGGCACACCAGGGTAAAGCCCGCCAGAGTAACGGCCACCCAGGATCGCCATCGCCGAGGTATGACAACCCTGACCGGGACATGCGTTGTGACAACTGCACCGGAATCGGGCTGAGAATTGCTGGGCAGACTTTAGTCTGTGAAAATTGTCATCGCACTGGACATCCTACTTAGCTATGCAAGACCTTACCGTGCAAGAAGTGTGGCAAGTTCCACGATGGTCGCTGTGAAGACTGGGAAATGCTAGAGTCTATTGCACGACTAGCCCGCCAGGGCATCGTGAAATGCTTACCCACTCTGATGCTGGATCGACTCCTGGCCGTCAAGGCTGATCCTGGTGATGAGTCGTTAAACCACTAAGCCCGCTGGATGGGGATCCAGTACGCGACGGACATGGTAAGACCCCAGGATTGTGTGCCTTAGTATATGTCGGCCCTGAGTTGAGTACCAAGAACCGAGATAACCAACAATGCATGACTTTAATGTTTCAAGATCCCATGAGTTCAGGATTAGGCCCTTCTGGATTGCTTCATTCAGGAGGCACTTATCCAGAGTTCCCTGTGGAATTCCGGCTTCGGGATGGAGAACGTTATGGGTGGTGAACTACTCACCAGCCAAGGAAGGAAAAGCGCAGGATTGCTACGGTTCATGATGCCGTGAATGATGTAAGAACTCGGATACTCCTGGACACCGGAGCGTCATTGAGCATGATTAGCTTGGATTTAGCGCGTAAACTCAAGCTCAAGCTCAATCGACAAAATCAAGTTAAGGTGTCCGGATCACAGGAGGTATTCCTACTCAGATCACAGCAAGTGCAGCAGTCAAGATAACGCTAGGATCCAGGGTAGTCTACATTATGGAGTGGGTGGCCAATATTGGCGAAGGATTGGATGTGCTCCTGGGCATGGATTTCATGTTTCGTGCAGGAGTGCGCGTCTGTGTT